TAATTTCAAAAAACAGATCAGGCCAAATCTTATAGGCAATAGAAAAAGAAGAAATACTTCAATCTACTTAATCTGGATATACCTGATATTAAAATTGGAAAAAATATATTATTATAAAGGGAAATCACAAACATATTTCACTTATAAATGAGGATGAAATATCCTAAACAACATATTAATAAATTGAATTAAAAATTGTTCAAATAATGTACTTTGGTTAAAATTAAATCCAATTTATATGAGAATGAGTCACTATTTTCTTTTCTTTTTTTTCCCTTTCCCTCACCCCCTCCCTCCTCTCTCTGTCTGCTCTCCCCTTCCTCCACCCCCACTGTGTCATTGTGATTAATTGTCCTCATATCAAAGTTGAGTTACATAGGATTCATGCTTCTCCATTCCTGTGATGCTTCACTAAGAATAATGTGTTCCACCTCCATCCAGGTTAATACAAATGCTGCAAAATCTCCACTTTTAAAAAATGGCTAAATAGTATTTTATGGTATATATATACCACAGCTTACCAATCCATTCCTGGGTTGAGGGGCATTTAGGCTGTTTCCACATTTTAGTGATTGTAAATTGAGCTGCAATAAACAGTCTAGTACAAGTTTTGATATAGCCTCTGTGGGCAATCAATTCTAAATGCTTTATAATGAGCATTATACTTTCTTCTTAACCCCTTAGTAATGTAGGAATCTTTTTAGTTTCAGACATATAACGGGAATTGAGTTTTGTTTTTTATTTTTATTTATTTATTTATTTTGGCCAGGGCTGGGTTTGAACCCGCCGCCTCCGGCATATGGGGCCAGTGCCCTACCCTTTTGAGCCACAGGCACCGCCCTTTATTATTTTATTTTTTAGAGACATAGAGTCTCACTCTATTGCTCAGGCTAGAGTGCCATGTCCTCAGCCTAGCTCACAACAACCTCAAATTCCTGGCTCAATGAATTTTGCTGCCTCAGTCTCTCAAATAGCTGGGACTATAGGCACTTGTCACAGTGCCCGGCTAATTTTTTTTTTTGAGATAGAGTCTCACTCTGACACCCTGAGTAGAGTGCCATGGCATCATAGTTTACAACAACCTCAAGTTCTTGGTCTCATGCAATCGTCTTGCCTCAGTTTTTCTAATTTTAGTAGAGACAAGTCTCACTCTTGCTAAGGCTGGTCTTGAACTCCTGAGCTCAAGCAATACTCCCATCTCAGCCTCCCAGAGTGCTATGATTACACCCATGAGCCCCCATGCCTGGCCTGATTTTTTTCTTATTTTTAATAGAGATGGGGTCTCGCTATTGCTCAGGCTGGTCTCCAACTCCTGAGTTCAGATGATCCTCACAGCTTGGCCTCCCAGAATGCTAAGATTACAGGTGTGAGCCACCATGCTCAGCCTTGTTTTTTATTTATTTTATTTTATTTATTTTTTTGAGACATAGTCTCACTATGTCACCCTCAGTAGAGTGCCGTTGTTTCACAGCTCATACCAACCTCCAACTCTTGGGCTTAAATGATTCTCTTGCTTCAGCATCCCAAGTAGCTGGGACTACAGGTGCCCAGCTATTTTTTGTTGTTGTTGTTGTAGTTGTCATTGTTTAGCTGGCCTGGACTGGGTTCAAACCTGCCAGCCTCGGTGTATATGGCTGGTGCCCTGAATACTTAGCCCTGGGCTCTAAGCCTTGTTTTTTATTTTTTGCTATTTTTAAATAATTCATTCCTATTTTTAGAAAAATGGCCTGTATAGTATCATTATTTGAAATTAGCTAAGATTACCATCATACCCTATAATAAATGCATTTTTAATGCATGTTCCACAGATACTTGAAAGTAGTATGAATTCTTTGAGCAAGAGGTTTTATGTAGTTCTCTGTTGAAGCCAGCTAATAAATAATGTTACTCAAAGTTTCTTCTTTTATACGTGCTTATGTGTGTGTGTGCTTAATCACTTCATTCTAAGAACAGTGTTTTATTAATAAAATCTGCTCATCTGTTCCCCTTAATATCATTTTCCTATTTTTCAAACCAGTTCTTACCACCACCTAGTGCCCAACCCAGGTATCACAAACCTGAGCAGTGGAAGCTTGACCCCCTGCCCATCTGTCCTTGGGAAGGAGTGTAATTCTGCCTTTGCATTGTAGGGTGCTTGAAGATGAGATTGAACAGCTTCGAGATGAGCTCAGGGAAACAGTCGATGAGAATGGGAGATTGTATAAGCTGCTGAAGGAAAGGGACTTTGAAATCAAACACCTCAAAAAGAAAATAGAAGAGGACAGATTTGCCTTCACAGGTAGCCCCACCCTTGTTGTGATAGTCCTAGCCTTGCAGTCCAGAGTTCAGGGAGGTCAGATAGCAGGATCCTAGAGGGCAGGTGCCCAAGAGAGTGCCAAGGGTCAGTTGTGGTCAAGCTTGTCTAAATCCTGGCAGTGAGGGAGAAGGTAGAGGAAAAGAACAGGCCCAGGAAGCAAGCATATCAGGAAGTGGGAACACAGGGGACAGTGAGGACAGCAGGGGTAGCAGGCCAGCATCCCAGGCAATGCTGATGACCCAACTGGGACTCATGACAAGGGTTCTCCATCATGCTTGCAGTATGTGCTGTGGGCTGGCAAGACCCATTTCCTCTTGGTTCTCTGGCTCAGACATTGTATCATAGACATTCAAAAAGTCCCAATAGAGGCAGATGTTAACTCTACAGCACCTGCTGTGCTATTCTAGAAGGGTAGATGAAACAAGGAAGCCACCTGTTCTAGAAGGATTACCTGGGACTCAAGCACTCTTAGCAGAGCCTGGGCTGGACGTTGGCTCTGTTGGTAGACACCCTGACCCCATGAGTGCAATGAGGACCTGGTTTTGTGAGTCTGGGGATGACCTTAGCCCTGTGGGTGTGAGGTGGACATTGGCTCTGTGGTTATGAGTTTGACTTTGGCCCTGCAGGTCTGGTGGAGAGACCTTGACCCTGATTGTGCTCTGCTATCTGTACACCTATTGAGCAATCCCCAGGTGGCTAATAAACCAGAAAGTAGATGTCATCAATCACAGAAAGCAACAAGATTGACTTAGCATCTGCCAGAGTGTCCCTCCCTGCTTTTGAGAGCAAATGCTTTTGATGGCGGGTACACCCATAGGACCAAAGTTCCAATCAGTCAGTGCTGAATTAAAAACCAACAGGAGGCTCAGTGCCTATAGCTCAAGTGGCTAAGTCGCCAGCCACATACACCAGAGCTGGTGGGTTCATATTCAGCCTAGGCCTGCCAAACAACAATGACAAATACAACTAAAAAATAGCCGGGCGTTGTGGCGGGTGCCTGTAGTCCCAGCTACTTGGGAGGCCAAGGCAAGAGAATCTCTTAAGCCAGGACTTGGAGGTTGCTATGAGCTGTGATGCCATGGCACTCTACCCAGTGCAACAGCTTGAGGCTCTGTCTCCAAAAATAAAAATGAAAACCAACAGGACTTTGGTATCCTAAAGGCTCTTGCTAGGTTAATGCATCTCCCTTCATTCTTTGGCCTTTTCTAAAAACAAAAACCACACTGAACACAAGGCTTTGTGTTGTGAGGAATAAACACACTTA